AGCGGGGAGGAATGCGGCGGCGCACCCGCGTCGGGGGGCCCGCGCGGGGGGGCTGTTGCCGACTGCCCGGAGGAGGACGACGAGGTGCGGCAGCTGTATGCCGGAAGCCTGCGCCCATGCACCACCGCAGGGGGCCGCCAAACGGGGCGGTGACCACACCGTGTGGCCAGTCCGTGGGGGTCCGTGGTCACCGCACGCCTTTGGGACTCGGGTCGTTCTCCGAGGGCGTCTCGGGCGACCGGGGCATCCTGGGTCCCAAAGCCGTGCGTTGACGGACCGTGCGGTGAGGTCCTGGGGGGAGGGAGGAGGGAGGAGGGAGGAGATCTCGAGGGGTCACCGCACGGTCGGTCACAGCACCGCTTCGGGACTCCAAAGCAGACTGCGCGCAGGAGTTGTGGTTTTTGATCGCCAGGGTGGCCTCTGTGTGCGGGCCTACCGGGGATCCCCCAGTTCGTGAGCTGCGTGGGGGGACCTGAAGGTTCAGTCGGGCATGTCCTTCTACAGGAGGAAGGGTCAAAATAGTATAACAATAGTCTCGGGACGGCTTTTCTACTGTTACTGATTCTTTTGTGAGCCTCTTCGACAATGTTGTATTCTTCGTTCAAAGTCAGCCTGTAGGAGGACATGCCCGACCTGACCTTAAGGCCGCTGCCGCCGACCCTGAAGGGGGACGACGACCACGACGGCGGCGTCGGCGGCGACGACGACGACGCTGACGTGGGGCAGAGTCCTCAGTGACGCTTCGCGGGGCCTCTTCGGAGCACGCTCGTAGGAATCTGGGGGTGCATGTTTGGGGCATCTTGGGGCCTCGTGGGGGCCTCGTGGGGGCCTCGTGGGGCCTTGTGGTGGCCTCGTGTGGTCCTCGTGGGGGCCTCCTGGCAGCTTCTCGGGGCCGAGGGCTCAAAATATTTGCTCCGGCTCCCATGTGGGCACCTTCTTGGAGCTGTTTTGGGGGCCTCTTGGGCCGTCTGGGAAGCCTTAGTGCCGTCTTGGGGCCCTCTTGGGTCGTTTTGGGGCCGTCTTGGAAACCTCTTGGGGACCTCTTGTGCCAATCTTGGTGGCATCTTGGGCATTTTGCAGGCGCCTGGAATCCGAAAAGGCAAGAGCCCCAGAATCCATCAAAGACCTAAGGACGAAATTATTTAAGCTCGCCTGTTGGGGTCCTCTTGGTGTGCTTTTTGGAGGCCTCTTCGAGAGTCTTGAAAGCCGCTTGGGCTGCCAGGAGGTCACCATTGGTGTCTTGGACCGATTGTTCGGCGATTCGGGTCCGTCTTGGACCGTCTTGGGGGGCTCTGGAGCTGTCTTGGGGCCCTTTTCGGCCCCAGGACCCCCTAGGGGAGGATGGCATTCTGACTTGTGACCCCCTGGAGGACAGCCCCCAGGACCCCCCCCCGCCACTGGGCTTCCCCCAGTTCGTGAGCCAATGTCTCATTACCACCACTGCAGACCAGGAGCGGCTGACCTCTGGAAAGGGCCTTGCTCGGCGCGGTCGGCGCTTGGCGCAGCAAAGCACTACTGTTCGGCGGCGAGTCCGTGAGGGAAGTGAGAAGAAGAAGAAGCAGGCCTTCTCAGAAGGCCCGGAAGTCCCCCGGCCTTCTGAGAAGTTCTTCTAAGCCTTCCCCCGAAGACAAACCATTTCTCAGAGGGCGCGAGAGCTTCTGAGAAGTCCCGCCGCCTTCTGAGCAGGCCTTCGCCTGCTCCTTTCCCCCCCCCTCGCTCGCCGCCGAACTGTGGACCAGCCGCCCCCAGCCCACTGCAGGCCGCCCCTGGCCTCGCACTTCCCACCCCCACCGCTGCTACAGCTAAGTTGGGCCTGTCCCTCTACAGGAAGAGGATTCCAAAATAGTCACAAAATAGTACGGGGACGATGTTTTGATGATTTGTTGTCCACTCGGGGTGTATTTTTGTTGGGCACGTATTGTTGTATCGAAAACTCTCCTGTACAGGGACACGCCCGACTTACCACTACAGGCCGCCTGCAGTGGTGGTGGCGAGACGTAGGCTCTCACCACACGCGGGTTGCTGAGAGCGGTGGGATGGCGGCGGCCTGCGCGCTCGGCTATTCTAAGATTTAGCCCGGCCTTTTCCTCTGCAGGAGGAATTGCGAAGGCCGTACGGCCGGTGCCGCCGACCCTGTTCGCTAGGACGAGGAGGAGGAGGAGGAGGAGGAGGAGGAGGAGGAGGCAGAGGAGGAGGAGGAGGAGGAGGAGGAGGAGGAGGAGGAGGAGGAGATGGAGGAGGAGGAGGACGAGGAGGAGGAGGAGGAAGAGGAGGGGGAGGAGGAGGTGGAGGAGGAGGAGGAGGAGGAGGAGGAGGAGGAGGAGGAGGAGTGGTCGTGGAGGCTTCGAGGTTCGAGGATCGGGGTTTTGAGCGTCTCCGGACCTGCCCTCCCCGGGTCCCCCTTTCCCGGCGGAGAAGGCATGAAAGGAATTAGGGGCTTCCCTTCGTGATTCAATGGTGGCGCGTCTGGAGTTTTTCTGGGCTCCGAAGTCGCAGCGAGGGAGGCGTCGTATCTGACCCGGGACCATCTCCCGCCACCCGTCCCGGGTTCACGCCCTGGTACCCCCTGGGGACGCCCTTCCCCACCCCCGGCGGTGAAGGGATACAGGGAGTTCTCGGGGGGGGCCTCTTGGGGGTAGTTCTGGGGCCTCTTGGGAGGCTGTTGGGGGCCGCTTGGGAGCCTCGTGGGGGCCTCTTGGAGCTTCCTGGGGGTCTCTTCGGAGCCTCTTGGGGCTTCGTGGGCAGCTTCTTAGGGGCCTGTGGGGGCCTCCTGGGAGCTTCTGAGGCCGAGGGTTCGAAATGTCCGGTCGAGTCTCCAGTCTGGGCTCTCTCTTGGAGCCGTCTTGGGGACCTCTTGGGCTATCTTGGAGGCATCTTGGGCGATATTAGGGCGGTCTTGGGCGCCTCTTGGCATGTCTTGGAGCGTCGGGAAGCTGACAATGCGAGAACGCCCAAATCTTTCAAAACCTAATGGGAATCTATGATTTTTGCTCCTTGGTGCCCTCTTGGGAGTGCCCTTGGATTGGGAACTTCTGAAGCTGTCTGGAGGCCATCGCGACTTGGACCGATACTTCGGCGGTTCGGGGCCCTCGAGGACATTCTGGGGGGCCTCTCGGGGAACTTTTATGCAGGGCTGCCCACACCGGGAAGGTCAGGTTATCGGCCGACCCCCTCCTCCTCCCCCCCTCGGATAACCCAGGTTGTCGTCGATCCAAAAACAAGCGGTCTCCTACCAACGCCCGACCCAGACCAGGCCCCCAAATCGGAGGGAGGAGAAGCGATACTAACACCACCAAGGGGCCCGGAGGTCCACGATGCCTCCCCGAGCGAGAGACTGGGCATGTCTCGAGCGAGGGGGGGGGCCACACCACCAGGCAGATCCCCCCTTGCCTCCGCGCATCTCCTCGCGCTGCTGGTGTTGGCGTCGCATTTCCTTGCTCCTACCCAAGGATGCCTCCCCGAGCGAGAGACTGGGCATGTCTCGAGCGAGGGGGGGGGCCACACCACCAGGCAGATCTCCCCTTGCCTCCGCGCATCTCCTCGCGCTGCTGGTGTTGGCGTCGCATTTCCTTGCTCCTACCCAAGGATGCCTCCCCGAGCGAGAGACTGGGCATGTCTCGAGCGAGGGGGGGGGGGCCACGCCACCAGGCAGACCCCCCTTGCCTCCGCGCATCTCCTCGCGCTGCTGGTGTTGGCGCCGCCTTTCCCTGCTCCTGCCCCGGGGAGCCGGCGAGGGCCATCGCGCTTCGGGTCGGGAGCCTTGAGACGGGGGTCAATACAGACGGGGGTCAGCCAGGGCGCCAGATCCTGCAGGATTCTGCGAAGACCCCCTCTGGCTGACCCGGGTTAGGGAGCCGCTCGTGGCCGCGAGGCGGCCGCGCGTATTGGCTGACCCGGGTTTGCGAAGACCTGCGCTGCAGTTTTTTTGTTCCTGCATTGCAGTTTTTGATTTCCTGCTGACCCGGGTCTGGATTGACCCGGGTCATCCCCGATCGGGCATGGCGCCTTTTCTCCAGGGCTGCGGCGCGAGGGCGCCGATGACACCGCGCATCGCGGGGCCCGGGGCGCGAAGCGAGGCGGCCAAGGCCAAGGGTTCTGTCGGGCCAGTCCCTCCACAAGAGGAGTGTTCCAAAACTGGTCAAAAATAGTACGGGGGCTATCTTTTGACAGTTGTTTTAATGATTGGTCTTGTATGTCTGGGGTATTCTTTAATTTTTCGTCCAAAATCCTTGGGGGGCACGCCCGACTTCAGCCAGGAGAGGAAAACGCACCCAGACCCTGAGGACTGGCGCTTCACAAACGGCCCCTGGGCGTTTGCGGAACAGCCCCGCGCTGTTCTCGACTCCTCGTCGGGGTTCTGACTGGCTCCGCTCGTCGGGGTGCTGGTTCGGGGGGGGGGTTCTTTGCTCTCTGCTGGAATGGCTTTGGACTCGGCGTGACCCCAACGTACTTCTACCATATGTACGTCGCCCCCCCAGGGCCGACGCGCGCACCGAGAAATCTCATTGTACATGTCGTGGCGGGCGCTCTCTGGCCACACCGCTCGGGAAACCATGTACTACAAGATGGGTTCTACGGTATGTTCGGGTCGGACGCACGCCTCCAAGGAGAACACATGCAGTCAACCCACACAGTAAGGATGGGCAACCTTCCCAAGGGCACCCTTGCATCCTTGCCTCCACGGTCCATCCTTGGCCACTTTCGTTGGCCGCGCCCCGCTCGAAAAGCTTCGACGTGGCCTTCCAAGGCCCTTGTGTCCTCAACGCGCATCCTTACTCGTGGGCTGGTGCAGAGGTGCCCTGCCGGCCCAGGCCAGGGAGGCGCACGCTGCCGGGGACCAGGGCCACAGCGGTGTTCTGAGCAGCCCTGCGCTGTTCTCGAGTCCTTGTCGGGGTTCAGGGGGCCACATGCGAACCCTACCCCTAACTACCCCCCACGATTTCTGAGGGGGAGCGTGGGGGAGGGTTCGCATGTGGCCCCCTAGGGTTCTGAGCGACTTCGCTCGTCGGGGTGCTGGTTCGCGGGGGGGAGGGGGGGGGGTTCTGCTTGTGGCTCTCTGCTGGATGGGCTTGGGCTGGTGCAGAGATGCCCTGCCGGCCCAGGCCAGGCGGGCGCACGCTGCCAGGGACCAGAGTTCCACAGGGCCGAGCGGTGGTGCGCGGCTGCCGGCCTCCGGGCCATGACGCCGAGCTGGCCTCCGCGCGGGCCCGCCTGGAGCGCTGCTCCGCACGCCTAGAGGAGCGAAGGCAAACCATCTGCACAGACAGGATCGCGTCGTGAGCAAGAATCAGGACGGGAGGCTTCTGGCCCATTTCGGCCCCGGGGGGCCCTCGCCGGGCCGCGGGACCGTCAACAGGAAGATTCAGATTGAAAAGCCGGTCCCGGGGAAAGGGTGTGGGGCGCCGTGCTGAAAAAATCGGGACGTCGCACGTCGGGGAGGATTCGCGCGGGCTTCTTTTCAGCGACCACCAGCAAGCCCTCCCCCTGCGGATCCAAACGGCGCCGGGGTTCTGAGATGCTCGCGTTGGGGTCCGCTTGGTTGCAGGCATCCTCCTCGGAGGCCTCAAAGAGGGGGGTGATGACTAGGGGGGGGGATATCATGGCGGGGGCCATGACATTTCCCCAGATTTCATGGCGCCTCTTCTTATTTCATAGTACGTCCCAGGCCCCCCTCCCTGGGCCGCGCACATGCTGCCGGCCATGATTTGCACCCCCCCCTCTTCGACGCCGCCCTCTTTGCCGCCCCCGACTCCAGATTCTGAGCCCCAGCCGGCTGTTCCGAAATCTGACCTGCAGGGGCAGGGCCTACTTTGGGTTGCCCCTTCTTGGGTCTTCGCTGTACCACCCTGGCTGCGCCTCTGGAGCCGCCCCTGGCGCGCTCCGCACGCCAGGGAGGGGCCCAGCGCAGACCCAAGAAGTGCGCGAGGACTTCCGAAAGCTCATTCCCTAGTCACTCGACAGGTTGGGGCTGTCAGATTTAAGAAAATAACCCGGACATGCGACGTCCTGATTTTTTCAGGACGACGCCTACGGAAGTCCAGACCCTTTCCTTGGGACCAGTTTTTCCTTCTGGATATTTTTGTGGCGGTCCCGTGGCCCGGCCAGGGCCTCCTCGAGGCCGACATCTGCCCAACAACCGCCCGTCCAGATGTTTGCTCACGGCGCGGCCATTCCTGGGAGGAGCGCCCGACCGCTTCTCAACACCCTGCCTCGGCGGCTACAGAGGGCGTGGCTACGCCGGGGTGTGGTCTGCGATCGGCAACGTTGGGGCCTGGGGGGGGCACGACGCCGTCCTCGTCGGGCCTCCTCGGGGCGCGGGAGAGCTCTGCCGGGGCCCCCGCGCGCCCAGCAGGGTGCCCCCCCAGGACTCAAGCAGCGGCGGAGCGTCCTGGCTCGCCCGTACTCCCACCGAGCAATGTTCTAGGAAGCTTTTTGTGGTTTGCACGGGATGCTCTTAGAGCATTTCGGGTTGAGACTCTTCTTGTTCTAACACATCGGGCTTCTGTTCTGAGGACAGTGCTTTTGTTCTCAGAGCATTGTTGAGTTCTAAGAGCATTTCGTGGTAGGACTATAGGATCGGGGAAACGCAAGACCCGAGTAGGCCGGAACTTGGGTTTGCCGACGTTTTTTTGACGCGCGCGTCCTGGATTTTGACGGTCCAGTTTTCGTGGGATGTCTGCAGCGGGAGCTCGCGTCAAACTTCAGATTGGGCCTTGTCATTTTTATGATGGCCCCCGTCGGGCCAACCCGAGTCCCCCGCACCCGAGTCTTACGTCCCCCCGATAGGAATGCTGGGACGGTCGGTCCCTGCTCAGAGGATGCTCCCCAGGGTGCCGGTTGCAAGCCACACCCTACGGAGTCGCCGACTGCAGACAACGGCCGCCAGGCCCAGCGCGTGCCGGTGCCCCCTGGGGATCCCGCCGCACGTCCTCGACGGATGGCGACTGCAGACCACGGCCGCCAGGCCCAGGGTGTGCCGGCGCTCCTCGGGGATGGCGCCTCGCGTTCTCCTCCTCCTCCTCCTCCTCCTCCTCCTCCTCCTCCTCCTACTCCTGCTCCTCCTCCTCCTTCTCCTCCTCCTCCTCCTCCTCGGGTGGGGGCCGCTCGAGGCCGGAGAACGTGTGAGCGTTTTCTCTTCGTATGCCTTGTTTCGCCGATCGGCACGGGCCCTCGCCCCCCCCCCCTCCCCCCCCATCGAGCAGATCTTGGCTGTGCTTGGCGCCTGTTTCGAGCAGGTGGGGCCTCGGGCCTCCCCCATAGGACGTGCTGTTGCAAGCAGACGCGGTGAGCGGAGGTCGGGAGCCAGACCACCCCCCTCGCCCCCCCTTTCCGCCCAATGTCGAAGCAACGACTAAGAGAACGCCCACTGGTGCTTGTGCCGTTCCCCGAGATCCGACGTCACGAAAAGATCGCAACACCATGAAGAATCACCGCCGGAGCCCCAGACTCATTCCTGCGCCACTGTCCCAGCCAGATCGATGTTTGCGTGCCCCTGGGCCCGAATCTGGGCGACCTCGGCTGTGGTGCTGCGGAATTGCAGCGCCAGGATCTTGCGGTTTTGCTGTCCTCTCGGGCGTCCTCTGCAATCAGTCCCAGCTTCGCGTACTCCTTTGCCGCTTAGGCTCACCTGGGCGGGACGGCGGTCGCGCTTCGCGGTCTCGGCCTCTCGACATGAAGGCCGCGCGACAGCGCGAAGCTAACCGCGCTTCGTTTTGCGCAGCGCGAAGCCCGAGTTTGCAGTCAGCCTGCATAGTATGGATGGACCCGCCTTCCCAAGGGCACCCTCGCATGCTTGCCTCCTGGGTCCATCCTTGGCCACTTTCCTTGGCCGCGCCCCGCTCGGAAAGCTACATCCTTGCCCCTGCATCCTTATCTTGTGATCCTTGCATCCTTGTGATACAGTCGGGGCGCTGCAGGGGGGAACCCTTTTCGGTGTGGAGGGGCTCGGTGTTCCTTGATTGTTCTGCAGTTTGCCTTCGGTTTTCCTGAGGTTTCCCACTGGAAATCGAACCTTAACTTATAGGAACACGGGGCCTCGTTCCTTATTTAGGGTTCCTTAGGTCAACGCCCTGACTGTACGGGCCGACTGCAGTTTTTCAAGAGGAAGAGCTGCTGCTGCTGCACCGCTGGGCGGAGGGCGCGGGGCTCCTGGGCGGCGGCGAGGCGCAGGGCAGCGACGGCCGCGGCGTGGTGCTGGAGGTGGCGCCGGGCGTCGGGGGCGCGGAGGCCGCCCTGTTCGCAGGGGAGCTCTTCGAGATGTGCGCGGACGGCGGCGGAGACGGCGACGGCGACGGCGACGATGACAACGGCGGCGACGACGACGATGCTGTTGACGACGACGACGACGACGACGACGACGACGACGACGACGACGACAACGTCAACGACGGCGGCGGCGGCGGCAGCACGGCGGCACGGCGGTGGCCGCGGTGACGCCAATGACTGCGACCGCGACGAGGACGGCGGCGTTGACGGCGACGGCGGCGACGGCGACGGCGACGACGTTGACAGCGGCGACTACGACGGCAGCAGCGGCGGAAGCGGCAACGACAGCTGCGACGATGTTGATGACGACGGCCGCGACGAGGGCGTTGGCGGTGGCGCGCTGGAGCTTCGCAGGTACGAGCGGCTGGCCGAAGAGCGCGGCTGGACCTTCGAGTCGGAGGGCAACGCGGGGGGCTCGCAAGGCCGTCCGCTGCCGGGACAACGGCCACATCCAAGACCTCCTCGCGTTGTGATATACGTAAGGTCACGACGTTCGCGGATCGTTATTCCTCGATTGCCTTCGATTTCACATTTGGTACAGTCGAGGTTGATTAGCAGACCGACCTTGCTGAATCAAGGGTACCCTTATGTCCTGTGGTTCGCGGCCCATGCCTTCTGCATTCCTATGGCAGTGTGGCCCACGGGGGTCAACGCAAGCGGGGGTCAGCCAGAGCTCCGGATTTTGCAGGATCCTTCAGGAGCAGGTGTGCAATAACACAGGCTTGACTAACCCGGGTGTGGATTGGCCCGGGCCAGAAGATTCCCGACCCCTTCTAGGAGGCCTCCCCCCTTCCCCCCTGCCCTTCCCCCCTCCCTCTCCCTGCCCTGCCCTCCTAAGAAGCATTCCCCCCCTCCCCTTTCTCTTCTAAGAAGCCTCCCCTCCTAGCAAACCTGCCCTCTTCCTGCGCGACGCCGGGATCGCAAAAAAACCCAGGATTGCAAAAAAAACAAGGATTGCAAAAAAACCCTTGAACGAAGGATTGCAAAAAAACCCTCCTTGAACGAAGGATTGCAAAAAAAACCTTGAACGAAGGGTTTTTTTGCAATCCTGCAATCCTTGTTTTTTTTGCAATCCTTCGGGCAGAGCGCCAGCAGCCTGAGGGTTGTGGCTGCCCCCCCTGGCGGCGCAGGCTACACCGCCAGGATCTCCAGCGCCCCCGGCGCCGACGAGGACGGCCCTTTCGGCTGGCTGCGGTGGGAGGCTGGCGTGCACCGAGTGCAGCGGATTTCGGGCGGGTGGCAACGGGGAGCGTCGTGAACGAAGGATTGCAAAAGAAACGAAGGATTGCAAAAAAAACCAAGGATTGCAAGAAAACCTAGGATTGCAAAAAAGAGCCAAGGTTTTTTTGCAATCCTTTGCAATCCTTCGACCAAGGGTTTTTTTTTGCAACCCTTCGTCCGAGTGCAGCGGATTTCGGGCGGGTGGCAACGGGGAGCGTCGTGGACAAGAAACCACGACGGGCGGTTCTCGTCGCCATCGTCGGCCCCCAGGGGCCCTTCCCGGGCCTCGGGGGCGTCCAAGCCTCAGAAGGAAAAGCCGGTCCCGCGGGATGGGTCCAGTCTTTCGGGCGGGCTGCGAGGGGGGGGAATGAGAAAAGAGCCCCGAAGGGGCTCTTTAGGATCCGTTTTGTGCACCTGCTGGCTCCAGAAGGTGCTCTAAAGTAGGGGAACAAAAAGTGGCATAACCGTAACAACTCGGAGTTCCGCGCGGATTTCTTGGATCGGCGCTTGGGCCCCCTGGCGGCGCCTCCTGCGCCGCCCCTCGCGCGCTCCGCGCGCCAGCCTCCGATTTGTCATGTTTATGTCACTCTTTGTTCCTTTATACAAGGCACAGTTAAGGCTCTCTCGTCCCCCCACATTTGGGGGGGTCGGTGCAAGCGGGGGCCCGCCAGAGCGCCGGATCTTGCAGGATCCTGCAGTGCCAGGGGTGCATTGACCCGGGCTTGGGTGCAGGGTCCTGCAGGATCAGCGCCTGACTGTCCCGGGGCTGGATCGACCCGGGTCAGTAAATCCCACCCAAATTGGGGCTGAAGAACAGGGCCTTCAAGGCACCCTTTCTAGGGACCCCCCATTGGAACCCGCCCGAGGATTCCCGAGACGGAGAAGAAGGACCGGATGCAGACGTCGGCGGCGACGGTGGTGGTGCTGCCCATGGCGGAGGAGGCGGAGCTGTCGTTTGCACCCGGTGAGGTGGTGATGGAGGTGAGCAAGAAGTCTTCCGGGCCAGGCGGTCAGAGCGTCAATGCCTCTCACCAGGCTGGGCCGCACGCAAGACAGACCCTGTGCCAGAGTGACCTTGGGCGCGTGGCTTCCGTGGGGAGCGCCTGGGGGCAGCGATCGCCAGACAGCGCACCAAGGGTCTCTCGTGCCTCTTAGGGCCCCTCTTTCGTGTGGCCGACAGGCAATCCGGGCGATCCACCTGCCTACGGGGATGAGCGTGCGGTGCGTCGCGTCGCAGTCGCAGTTTGAGAACCGCAAGGGCGCCCTTGAGATGCTGCGGACGCGGCTGCTCGCCAAGCAGCAGTCCGCCAAACACCGCGAGGCTTTTGCGGCGCGCACAAGCGGGGTGGCGCGCGACCAGGGGCTTCTTCCGAGAATGCCAGGGACTTTTTCTCGAGATCTACGACCCCGGCGTCACCATGTTGCACACCTGGCGGTTTCGCCCGGTGTCGGAGCCTGGCGCTCTCACAGATCGATCCGGCTCGAGAAGTGCGACAGGAAGTTTGGATCCAGGGCCTGGGTCGTGATCCCCCACGATGTTGCAATGCTCCTTGGGCCGTCGCATCCTCAGGGTTCTGGGGAGCCTCCTTGGAGAAACCAGGAGGGCTTCCCCCTCTTCCTCCTCCTCCTCCTCCTCCTCCTCCTCCTCCACCTTCTCCTCCTCCTCTTCCTCCTCCTTACCCACTTCTCCCTCTTACCCTTGTCCTTCTCGCCCCCACCTACGCCGCGCCCCGCGCGCGCCGGCCCGCCTCGCGCGCGCCGCCGAGACCTCGAGCAGCCGGAAGGAGCAGAGGGGCACCGGGGACCGCTCCGAGAAGATCCGGACCTACAATTTCTCGCGCGACGACGTGATCGACCACCGGCTCGGGAAGGGCGGCCCGGCGGCGCGCGAATCGGAACGACCTAAATGGGTACGGAAATGATGGGTACAATGCCCAACAGCAGTTCCTGTTCATTCTGGACAGGACGCGCTGTCCGCACCGCCGCGGCTTGTGTCCACTTGTAAGACAGAAGGCCGTTTGCCCAACAGCGGCCGCTGTTGGGGCAACATTTGTTGCTGGGCATTGTGCCCGTGGTTTCCGTACCCATTCTGGCGTCCAGAGCGAAGGGGCGCAGAGCGAGGGGGGACGGCCTTCTTGAAGCAGCGCAGTGCCCATCCCCATCCCCAGTGGGCCCAGGGCCCCTTGACCGCTGTCCATTTTGGACAGCGCCTGTCGTCGGGCATCTCGGGCGTCCATTACGGGCGGCAGTTGGATGCGCATGGCGCGCCCCAGAGAGGGCCTCCCCTGAAGTCTGGCCGTCGCAGGTTTTTCACGCCGGGCGATTCTTAGCTGCGGGCCCCGGGCCCTGACCAATCGATCTGGCTCGAGAACTGCCACCTAAAGTCTGCGTCTGCGGCTCCGGTCGTTATGCTCCATGGTTCTCCTTCTTTTTTCTCGCGCCGTCGGATCTCAGGGTCGCCTTCGGCGCATCCCGCCTCTGGCGGAAGCCGGCGGGAGGCTGGCGGAAGCCAGCAGAAGTGAAACCGCGGCGGGGCCGTCGACGGAACGTGTGGCAGAAGGTTGGCGGAGAGCAGCGGTAATGGAAGCAGGATGTCAACATGTTGGATTCAGGGTTTCCGAAAGCGGCCCTCGCGTCGAGGACAGCACTACCCACCCCTACCCCCAACCAGGACACCAACTCCCAGCCTGGTCACCCAAGGGATCCTGGCTGGGGTGTGGGTGGTTTTGGTCGGTTCTTGGGGGGCGAATATCTTACCTCACCCCAAGCCAGATCCCCTAATTAGATCATCAGGTCGGGAGTGGAGGTCCTGGCTGGGGCCGTCTCGTCTCGGGGCAATCTTGGGCCGTCTTGGGGGCCTCTCGGGCCCGCTCCGTGTCATCTTGGGCCGTCGTGCGGCCCTCTTGGGGACCTTGCACCGTCTGGAAGCGATCTCGGCGGCCTCTGGAGCCCCTTTGGCCAGTCGGACGCTGGAACGTTCGAGAACGCCGAAATCGCGGAGCATTGCCGAAAATCATGGAGCTTTGCCTCTCGGGGCCCTCTTGGAGGTGGTCTGTCCTCACGCTCGGCGGGGCACGCTGGCCCTCCGCGTGGGCACCCCGCGGTCCCCTCCCGCGTCTCGCGTGGAGCTCTGGCCGCCTCCGGAGGGCTCCCGCAGGCGCCCGCGGGCCTCCGCTGGCCTCTGGAGCGCCCGCTGGTGCGTGCCGGGGCGCTGCCTATTGGGGTCGCCTGAAGTCGGGCGTGCGCCCTCGACAGGAGGAACATGCGAGGATAGGGAAGCACTAGTCTGGCGACGATGTTTTCTCAGTATTTGCTGATGCTAGCTGATTCTTGTTCGACCCTCTTGCGCTTTCTTTTCAGACTCCGCCTGCAGGAGGACATGTGGATCTGTCCCAGGTGTTCCTTTTCCTGCACGTCAACTTTGGCACCGCCTGATCCCTGGGCTTCGCCCTCTCCCGGCCGCGTGAGGCCCCGCCTTCTTCCGCCCTTCCTCTGCTAATCAAAGCTGCGCGCGTCCCGCTCAGCTTTCAGCGGAAGAGCTTCGCTCTCGCCCTGCAGATCAAAACAAAAAACTCTAGGAGGATATGCCCGACCGAAGGGTCGCACGAGGGTGCTGGCCAGGACGCTCCCCGCACGAGGCGTATTCAAGGAGGGGCCTCGCCTGCGAGGTCCGGAGGAGTCGTCGACTCTTCCTCGGCGGGATGGGCGTCGGAAGGTTTACGTCGGGCCTGTCCCCCGACAGGGGGATTATCGACAAAAAATACCCCAAACAATGCACCAAAAAGGTAAACAAATGCCCTTCAAATAGTCCCCAGACTATTTTTGGATTATGTTTTGATTATTTTGGGGGTATTTCTTTTTTCCGTCGAAAATCCCCCTGTAAGGGGGGCAGGCCCGACTTCACGGAAGGTCGGCGGAAGGCCGGCGGCAGTAAGAGAGAGAGCGCGGCTCCGCCGGCGGAGATGCGGAAGTAGAAGGTGCGCCCCCCGAGAGGTTGCAACTCTTTGGGGGCTCAGGGTTCCCGGAGCCCGCATGCCTCCTCGCGATATTTGTTTATCAGGTTTTTGGGAGGGCCGGGGGGGGGCCGTTGGGCCAAGCCGGTCTCCCCGAAGGGGTCCAGCTTCCCGGGGGTCCACGGCGGGAAAGCATGGCGTCGGGGGTCCAGAGGGGTACTCGCCAGGACGCCTTCCAGGCCGCCTGGGGCGCTCGACGGCGCTGGCCAGGACGCTTCCTCGGAGCGCCTGGAGAGAATGCGACCAAGCAATACAGAACTGCTCTGTCAAGCAGTGGCGAAGCCTCCTGGCTCGCCTACGGGCCCACCAAAGAATGTTCTAAGAACCGTGTGTGGCCTGCACGAAATGTTCTGAACATGTCTGGCTGAGACCGTCGTGTTCTAACACATCGGGTCGATGTTCTAAGAACATTGTTTTGTTCTTAGAGCATTGTTGGGTTCCTTGAGCACGTCGTAGTAGGCCTGTAGGAGTGCCGTGGCGCTCGGTCCCTGCTCAAGGCCTGGGGGTCGCAGCCCCTCTTTGGCAAGCGAGCGATCGAAAAGAGGCTCCCAGTTTGCCGTCGAGGCCTCCAGGCCGCAGGCAGCGACCCAGCCGAGAGACCGCCATGTGCTTCCTCGTCCCTGCCTGATCGGTTTTTTTTGAGCCGCTCGGCCGCACTGCCCCCCCAGGGCCCCCAGGCGAACGTCGCTCCCAGATGCCGCCGACGGAGGGCCGCCGGCCTGGCCTGGCCGACCGGCAGCTCCACGAGGCACCCCACAGGAGGCACACGTTGCCAGACGCCGGATGCAGTCGAAACCGGGGATCCGGATGGGTAGCGTTCCCCGGGGTACCCTTGCATCTTTTCAGAGCCCCGAATCATCAGGGGTAACTCGGGTCAGGGTTAACTCAAGTTCCTTTTTCGGGAATCCGAACCCGACTTACCCCGGACCCGAGTTACCCCGGATAATTCGGGCGTCCAGAGCCCCACATCGTCAGGGAAAACTCGGGTCAGGGCTAACTCGGGTTCCTTTTTCGGGAATCCAAGCCCGAGTTACCCCGGACCCGAGTTACCCCGGATAACTCGGGCGCCCAATCTTTGCCCCTTCGGTCCATCCTTGACCACCTTCGACGGCTAGCCCCGCTCGAAGCGCCTCAGCGTGGGCGTGCAAGGGGCTTGCGGCCTGCACCGTTACCGCGCATCCTTGCCCCTGCCAAGAAACACCCAGCTTGCTTCCAGGGTGCCCTGTGTCTCTTGGCTTTCGATGGTTTTGCGATGGAAGGTGTGCGTTTCCCACACCCAAGAATCAATGGACGTCCCGGGGTCTCAGGGTTGGACTTCTTGTGGAAGGGCTCTTGTGGTCGAGTTCCTACTGTTAAGTCGGACCTGTCCCTCTACAGGAGGAATAGTCGAACATATGAATAAGATAGTCTGGGGACTATTGTTTTTGTATGTGTTGGCCATCTTGAAGCATTATCGGCGTGTTTTTTGTTATATTAAAAAGTTCCTTCAAACTCCCGCTGCAGGGGGACATGCCCGACCGAATAAATCCTACTGCATCATCTTGGACGGTCTGTCACCCTGGAGCTTTGCGTGAACCGAAGGGGCTGTACAGGGGGAAGGACAGGAAAGAGTCAGAGAAGGAACCACAGGTAGGAAGAATCAGTGCTTAGGGAAAAGTAGATCTCAGAACTGTGGTTGCATCCTTTTTACATTAACAATAATAGATAAGACATCTTTTGTAATAAAACCAGCTCCCCCCCTCTCGGCACGCCCTCTGCCACGGCACGGCGAGCAGGCCGAACGCCCCTCCCCCTCACCCCGCTGCCCTCTCGACGCGCCCTCCAAGAGAGGCGACGCGCGGAGCGCCTCCGACGTGCTGTTCGGCGCCGGCCTCTGCGCTCTGCTGGAGGACCGACTGCACTCAAGAGGGGAAGAAACACCCTGACACAATTCATCGTCGATCCCCAGGAAAATATGGGAAACTATGGGAAGTGGTGGGGAAGACAACAACTCAGGAAATATGGGAAACTATGGGGAATCATGTTATTTGTGTGTATGTATTTGTGTGTTGTGGGCCCCTCCATACACGTGAGAGCGACCCTTCTCGGCTGCGAGCGAGGGAGGGACATGAGAAGGAGAAGGCCCTCTCAGAAGGAGGCGGGGCTTCTCGGAGGCCCTCGCGCCTTCTGGGAGGTCTCCGGTGTCTTTGCCGGGGGACTCCCGAAGCTTCTGAGAAGGCCTGCTCCTTCTCACTTCCCCCCCGGGCTCGCCGCCGACCTCCGCCGGAGTAACCTCCGGTGCCAGGCCCAGCAGGGCTCCCCGATGGCTGGCCGCGACGCGGTCGCAGCTGCCTGCGCGCTCGGGGTTGGCCTCCCCGCGCCCCCTCAGAGAGAAGGGAGGAACAGCCACCCGGACCGGACAACTGGCGTTTACTACACGGCCCTGGGCGTTTACCAAACAGCCCTGCCCTGCTCGATTCCTTCTTTTGGGCGCGTCTGCTAAACGGCTTCGCGTGTCGGGGTGGTTCTTCTGGGGGTGGATTTTCTGTGTCGGGTGGTTATTCTGTTCGGGGTGGTTATGATGTTCGGGTGGCAAGCCGCGCAGCGCACCAACTGTCGCCCTTTTCCCAGGGTCGCCCTTGCGTGCCGTCGGGAGGAGCACCGGCTCCGCGCGCGCGCGGCCCGCGCCGCGGACGCCGTCGAGCTGCTCTGCGCGCGGCTGTGCCCGGAGTGATGGGCCCGCCACCATCTCACCACCCACCAAACCACCCCAACCCAACCCGAAGGCTCAGATTTGCCCTCCATTTCCAGTTGGGGGGGGTCGGGGAACATCGAAAAAACACTTATGGAACCCGTACCCCCCCCAACCCGAAATTGGGGTCTTCGGGTTGGGTTGGGGTGGTCTGGTAGGTAGTCACCATCGTCAGCCACGCGCAGAGGGGGGTGGGGGGAGGGTGGAGGGCTTCTTAGAAGCACCCCTGCTTCCGAGAAGGCACGGGCCATAGATGTAAGGCCAGCGCCTTCTGAGAAGCAGCCCCCTTCTAAGAAGCCCTCCCCCCTCCCTCCACCCCCTTGCGCGCGCCGCCGGCATCGAGTGCTCAGAGGTGACCCTGGCCAAGGCCCAGACCTCCTGCTCGCAATGGTCTGCCGCCGGGGGCTCTCGCCAGGCCCTGGGGCCGTCAAGAAACGGCCCAGGATGAGAAGCGGGGAATGGTTGCGGACCTCTGGGGGTCTACGTCGTGAAAAGATCATGGCGTGGAGGGTCTGAGGAGAAGGCCATGGCCCAAAGCCGGCCACAGCCTTCCCCAGGCAGTTCCAGATCTCAGACGACCAGGTCACCTCAATGAGCGCGAAGATAGTCGCGATGCGCGCATCACGGACTGGGCCAGAGATGCGCCCTTGCGAGGGTGCAAAGATAACCGCGCTTCGTGGGGCGCGATGCGCTATGCTTAGTGACTCAGAGCGAGCTCCAGCGCACCTCTCTCGAGACTCAGCCTCAGGGGCCTCAGAATGGCAACGAAGTGATGGGGACACTTTGGGCACCTGGGCCAGGATCGCCTCTGTCAGGATGCGCTTCTCTATTCTCCTTGCCGCTCGCGCCCGTTCAGGTCCTGCAGCTTCTCGGCCCCAAGCTTGCTCTTCTCGCCCCCCGCTCCCCCCGCCGCGCGCGCGCGCGGCCAGGGCGCCAGGGGGCTTGCGGTTGCCACCGCCGCGCAGGTTCCTCTTCACCTACGCGGCGGTGTTTTACTTGCTGGGCTACGAGCTGGTTTGGGCCACTGCCGCAGGCAGGGGTCCCAACGCTTCCTCCGTGATCTGGCTGGTTCGGGGTCGCTCTTTCACCCCGCCAGTCAGAGCTCGGGTGGGGGTGGGCCGGCTGCCTCCTGTGGGCACCCGGCAGCGGCGAGTGTGCACACTCTCCGCTCGGGCGCCGCTGCCCCCCTGGCAGTGCGCGCCCGTGTCATCTGGGCGTGGCCCCAGCCAGGCCGTCCAGGCAGGCGTCTGACCTGCTCGCGGGTTCCTCCCGCGCCTGCCGCAGCTGCTGCTCGTGTGACGCTGGCTTCTGAGCCCCGTCCCGCAGGCTCGGCATCCGATGGCGCCTGCCTCCCTTTCGCCGCTACAAAACTCCCCTCCTTCCTCTTGCCTCTTCCCCTTGGACCCCGGAGCGGGCGCCCATCTGAGGAAAGGAGTAGGAGGTGGAGTTCCCTCGCATCACGAGGAGGCCGCGCCATCGGCCCGGAAGAAAAGTGCTCGCGCTACGCCCGTTGCCGGCGCCACTCAAGGGTCGAGCCCGCCCGCCGCCGAACGGTCTTTTGCTCGCGCCACGAGTGTCGCCGCCGCCTCTCGGAACACCGCCCGCCTGGCAACAGGCGGAGAGGCCACCGGCGCGAAGATAACGGCGTCCAGGACGGAGGAGTCGGAGTCGGTGGACCCTCTCTTTCTCCACTCCCCCTCTACTCCTCCCCCTCCAGTCGCCGCTTCGCCATGGCTCAGCTGCCGTTCGCGGCATCGTTTCCCTCGCGTGGGCAACGACAGGCGCGCGCGCGCCCAGGGCCCTTCGGGCGGATCGGGACCCAGCGGATTTGAGGGGGTTGGCATGCGCCCTTCCAGCGATGCTGCTACGGCCCCGCAGGGGAGGGGTCGTGCCGCCCACTCAACCGTCGGCCTGGCTCACCAGTCTGGCCGCCCGCCGCGAGCAAGTTTTCTGGCCGCCTCGCCCGCTCCCGCGGGTTTTCGGCCCCCTCCAGGGTCGGAGCCGTCGGTTGTCGAAACCAGGCGGGGCGGGAGCTCTGTTCGTTTGGCAATCACCCACGAGCTGTCGCGCGCGGTGCCTCCCCCGCCTACTGTAGCGGCGGACGCTGTGGATTCTGGCGGTTTGGAGGGGGTGGGTATGCGCTCCTCCAGCGATGCTGTTGCGGCCCCGCAGGGAGGGGTTCGTACCGCTCCCCCAGCCGCCACCGCAGTTAACCAGCTTAGCACCCCGCCGCGAGACGGTCCCAAGGCAGCTTTGCCCTCGCTTTCGGGACTCCAGCTCCCTTCAGGGTTGGAGCCGCCGTCACAGACGCGTGCCGAGCGCACAGGGCCACCGCGGAGCAGTCCCAGAGCCGCCTCGCCGACTCGCGCCAGCTTCCGGCCCCCCCCTGGGTTGGAGTCGCCGTTACAGCCGCGTGCTTGGCGGATGGGCCCACCGCCTGGCTTTGATGCACGAACACCAGCACTGCCGGCGGCAGCACCAACGCCTGCGCTTACGCCGGCACCAGCGCCAGCGCCTCCTCCTGCGCCGAGGCCGGCACCGATGCCTGCACGAGCGCCAGCACGGACAGCGGCAGCACCGACGCGTGCGCTTACACCAGCACCAGCGCCAGCGCCGCACCGACGTCAGCATCAACGCCAGCACCTGGCGGCGTCAGCACCGACGCTTGCGCTTACGCCGGCACCAGCGCCAGCGCCTACGCCAGCACCGAGGCCAGCGCCGACGCCAGCCCTGACGCCAGCACAGACGGCGGCAGCACCGACGCCTGCGCTTCCGCCGGCACTAGCGCCAGCGATTACGCCAGGGGGCGCTTCGACAGTGTTGCCCTTCCACCCGCCACCTGGGTTTGAGGCGCTGTCGGGCCCTGCGGTCTGGCAGGTGGGGCCATCTCCCTGCCTCGCTAGCCTGGAGGCGGGCGCTCGGGTGCCGCCGCCGCACAACCGTTGCGCGACCGACGCCGCGGTTGGGTTTCCTTTTCCTGACAGCGGAAGTGGGCAGTCGGCGATCCCCTGCCTAGGGGCCTCACCCCTGCCTCCAAGGGAGCCGCTTGCGGTCAGTGCCTCCCGTGCGAGCGCCCACGCCATCTTGCACTCGCTCGGGCTACTCGGGAATCCAACCTCGGCGTCGACGGACCCCGCGTCCCTGCCAGTGTCGGCCCCCTTGTTGTCAGGCGCTACGCGACATGTTTCTGCTGCTGCTGCAGATGGTTTCGGGGTAGCTGGTACCTGCCTGCCGGGCGCCGCTGCTTCGGCGCCACAGAGCACGGGTCGCACCGATCCCTCAGCCCCCGCCGCAGCTCGCGATTTGGGCACGCCGCCGCAAAGCTGTCCTATGGCCACTTCGCCGTGTCTTCCAGGCTTCTTGCCCCCACCAGGGCTGGAGCCGCCGTCACGGCCGTGTGCCTCGCGTCGCTCTGGGGGCGCCCTCCGCGAGGCTAGAAGCGCTCCAGCCCTTCGCCGACGTGGCGGTTCGTCTGGGTTTTCAGCCATTCGGGATCGCGGCCACGTTGGCCAGGGCACCTGCGCCACCTCATCGCGTCCAGCTGCGCGCTGGGACCCCAGCTTCGGCGCTCGTCTCAGCGTGGGGGAAGGCTCGGTCGAACGCCCCTCCGCAGGCGCTCCCGCCTGCCCCTCCCGCGCGCGTCCCCCCGCCACTTGGGCGGGCCGACCCCGCTGCGGTCGCCGGCTCCGCCGAGGGGGTCGCAGGGGACGCACTGGGGCTGCCTGCCGAGGCGCCCCAGAGGGCTCTCGATCTGGCTTTCATCTGCCAGCGGGAGGCGCTGCAGCGGTGCATGTTCATCGTCCAGCTGGTGGGGGGCCGCGGCTACCTCGGAACCGCATGGTTCCTCACGGGGATCAAGCCCCCCCCGTGTCGCGTGACCTGGTGCGGGTGGCGGCAGGCCCTTGCCGCGCCCGTTCCGCCGGCTCCCAGGCCGCCGGCGGAGCCGCCCTCCACGGCGGCGCATCCCACCACAGGGGTGGACGCACGCGAGCTGCGTGCACCGGCCGAGGGTTCACGCAGCGGCGAGTCGCTGTAAGCGACGACGCTGCTGCTGCCAGGCGTGCCTGGGCTGAGCGAGGCCGTGAGAGTAGGCACGCGCTCCTCCAGCGATGCTGTTGCGGCCCCGCAGGGAGGAGTTCGTGCCGCTGTCGCGACTCTCGCTCTACCCCTGGCTCCCCTTCAGGGCCGAGTGGCCATTTTGGCAATTTTCACCGTGCTGCCGAAGCCCCTTCCGACGGGGACTCAGGCGCACCGCCCGTCGCTTCCATCGGTTCTGTTGCCAGTGGGAACCCCCCTCGAGTCGACTTGTCCTCCGGGGTCACTACCGTGCCACCGGCCCCTCGAGTTGACCTGTCCTCAGGGGCCGCTGCCAGTTCCGAAGCCTCTCGCGTTGACTTGTCCGCGGGGGATTCGAGGCCGTCTGCACCTACCGGCACCACGCCTTCCTTTCCCAAGGTCGCGCCCTTTGTCGCTGACCTTTCTGCCTTGCTGCGCCTGTTTCCTGGCGCGAACATCGATATCACCCATTGGGCTGCTGCTTTAGCTCAGGTTGGGATGGGTGCTCGTTGTTCTCTGTCGTCTTTCACCCGCACCTCCCTCAGCGCGTCGGCCCGGGACGGCTCGTACGTGTTGGAGCCGCCTCCCCGCGATCCTTGGCCGTGCCCTCCAGCGCCTTCTCTGCCGCCGCCTCCTGTAACCTTGACGGGTCGCGCGCGCGAGCGGTGGCGCTTGAGGCGCGCAGCGCGCACCTTAGCACAGCACGCCGTTGTTGCGCTAAACTGGCTCACCTTGGGCCATCCCAGCCTCGCCCCCATCGAGGCCCATGTGTGCACAGCGGCCACGCCCTGCCAGGAGGGTACTCGCGACCGCCTCGAGCGGTTGTGTCGGATCGCAGTTCGCCTTGCCCGCGGCGGCAAGAGCGACTTAGGTCGGGCTTTCTCCAAGTTCGACGCCACTGAAGTCTCGCTCCATGGCCTGGCCACCCATGTTGCAGCTATCGAGGCTTCCTTCACCTCCTCTTCCCAGGTGCCCGCCCCCATGCGGCAATGCCCGTCCAGCGCGCCTCCTGTGCCTGGATCGTTGGCTTCAGCGGCAGGCTGGGACTCCACCCAGTCTGAGCCCTTCGACCTCCGAGTCAGGGCGTCCCGCATCAAGTGGGATTATTCTCCGACGTTTGATCCCACTCCCTTCCTCGCCGACGCGCGGGTCCGCAAAGCTTTTCACGACCCCGAAACCATGCGTCTTCCGTCGGCCGAGTGGCCATCGGGCCTCCCGGGGGCCCGCGTCCACATGGACCGTGATCAGCTGTGGGAGCTTCTTCGGAAGTGGGACTCCTGCGGCGCCCTGTACTTGACTCCCACCTCAGACCTGGCTTGGGATGAGGCTTGCGGAGCGTTCAGGGTCCCCAAGGACAGCGAGTACGATCGGCTGATTCTTAATCCCACGGTGGTGAACAGTCGCTGTCAGAGCATTTCTTCCAGCACTCAGCGCCTTGGGCAGGGTTTCCTGCTCTGCCGCATGGGTCTCGCTGCAGGCGAGTGGTTGGTGGTGTCATGCGATGACTTACGCGAGTTCTATTACACCTTTAAGGTGCCACCAGCTCGAGCGAAGCGCAATGCCCTCCGCGTGCGGCTGCCCAGTGCGCGGTTCAAGGCATTCAATGCGTGGCGCCCTGACCTCGAGGGCGTGGATGTTTCCCCGTGCTTGAACGCGCTGGCTATGGGCGACAACATGGCCGTGGAAATCGCAAACTCTGCGCACGAGGGTGTCCTTCGCAGCTTCGGGGCT